GCCTCCTTATACTTGGAAAACACCGTCAAATAATTTCTCAACATGAACACAAGGACTTTAAAGGGATAAAGAAAAATTTTATTTGAAAAAAATTTATTTGAAAGAAATTTTCCTATGTCAAATCCCTTGTGTTTAAAAACAATTTTATCATCTATGTAATTAGAGCTAACACTGCCTAAACGTTTATCCATGTAACAATAACTATAATGATACGAAAATAAGAGCGACCATTTTTTATTCAAGGAGAGTGAGTATCCTCAGTAGTCCACTGAAATGAATAACCAAAATTACAATTCAGTTCTCGTTAGCATAATTATTCAGCCAATATTCTAGGGGTCTAGGATGAATAGGCTTTATAGAGAATGCCACTATAAATGAAAATAATCTTATTTATAATGCAGTTAAAGCTACATTAAGCATCACCCTAACACCGTAAGAATGAGATATGCCAGCAGGGCAAATGGTAAATTAGTTTGGGGATTTTTTTTTCCCCCTCTTTCTTTGATTGATAATTTTGCCTTGGTTACAGAACAACGTTATAAACCATTTTTAAGACAAATTCATTCCATAGGTTATTTCATTGTGTACCTACTTTGTGTAAGGCTTGTGAAATCAGAATGCAACAGTACTGGTTGCCTCTCAGGGTGGGCTGGGGCAGGAACGGACTGAACCAGCACGAGGTGACTTTCTAGAGTAATGGGAAGGTCTGTATCTTGACAGCGATTTGGATTTTACAGCATCTGTCAAAAATCTGAGAGTGTGTACTTAAGATCTGTGCATTTCATGTGAAATATAAATTTTACCTGAAAAGAGAAAAAAAGTAAAGAACTCCAGTGAATGACATATTGGTGTGTATGCTGAAGCCACTGGAGGGAAGGGCTCTTTTGTTTGCAATTTACTTTGAAATGTATCAAAGATTAAGCTGTATTGATAAATGGAGGCTGGATATGTGATAACAGTAAAATGTTCATGGGAGAATCTAGGTGGTAAATATACAGGTGTTCACCGTGAAGCCCTTTCAATTTGCATGCTTGAAATTTTTCATAACAAAGTGTTTGGAGGGAAAAAGATGCAACCTGGCTAAACAAGAGAAGACAACAAAAGTTAAAACAGTAATTTAGAAATATTTTTTAAAAATTTACCCAAATCTGCTATGCAACACTGTCCATTCTTCTTAACCAGGATGTTTTTGCTTTTTAAATCTCGGTGAGCAATGGCTGGTTTCCCTTGGGTCCCAAAGATCTCTATGTGTAAATGTGCGAGACCACTAGCTATGGACAGCACTATTCGCAGGCAGCTCACTGTATCCAGAGTAGTAAGCTGAAGGTAGTCATACAGCGATCCCATTTCATGATAATGTGTGATTAACCACAACTGTGTACTGGAGTGTCTTGATGTCATGTCTGAAGCAATGAAACCTGGAGACAGCAAGAACAAAATTAATAGACATGTGAGAATTTCACATTACAGCTTAATTTACTATACAGAAATAGCGACCCATACAGTAGAGATCACCTATAACAAAAAATAATTAAACTTACCAACTGCCATAAAAGGTTTACAGAGGCATCAACAGAGAAAAATAATGTATTTATACCTTAAGAAGACACTGCTAGTGAATAGGAAATTTTCATATTCATTTCCATTGTAAATAATCCTTTGAAATTTTTTTTACATTGCATTAAGATTCAGATAGAAGGGGCTTCCCTGGTGGCACAGTGGTTGAGAGTCCGCCTGCCGATGCAGGGGACACGGGTTCGTGCCCCGGTCCGGGAAGATCCCACATGCCGCGGAGTGGCTGGGCCCGTGAGCCGTGGCCGCTGAGCCTGCGTGTCCGGAGCCTGTGCTCCACAACGGGAGAGGCCACAACAGTGAGAGGCCCGCGTACCGCAAAAAAAAAAAAAAAAAAAAAAAAGATTCAGATAGAAATAATGTCTTTGTGTTTACCCATAATGAGAGTGTTAAACCCTTTATCATGTTGACATTCCAGGCACAGATCATTCATCAACCACCCAGAAAGAACACAAAGCCTGGAACCTAGACACCTGTGTTCTAGTCTTGATCTGCCTGTGATCTGCTTTATAACATTAGGCAACTCATTTGGGCTCTCTGGATTGTCTCTGCTATAAAATCAAGGAGTGAGTTTATATTAAATGTGACTGATTCATCGATTTAAAAAAGGAACCTATCAAATATAACAGGCACCTAGGATGCTCTTTGTCAGTTACACAGGAAAACCAAGATGATGGTGTTTGTTGGCTAGAAAAGAAGACAGAGTTAAAATGGAAAAAGTATGATATAATGTGAAAAGTCCTGTAATATATATGTGCAAAGGATAACAGGAGCCCAGAGCAGGGAATCATAATAATTCAGACTAGATGTTACAGTAGGCTTCCATCATGAAGTGACAACTGAAGTCGTCTTGAAAAGAAGTGAGATACTGATCCTGTGATAAACTGTAAACACGAAAAAGAATATATATGTATAACTGAGTCACTTTGCTGTACAGCAGAAATTAACACAACATTGTAAATCAACTATACTTCAATAAAATTTTTTTAAAAAGTGAGATATTGAAAGATGTAGATAAAGAGGAAGGAAGAAATTTTTCTAGACATTCTAAGGGGACTTTTCAGCACACTGAAAGAACTCGCAGTCGGAGGTACTTCCTAACCTATGAAATAAATGGTGATGTGTGTGCCCATCTTTCCTGCTACAGAGGTGCTTTCCTAGCGTTATAGATCTATACCTTATAGACACCCATATGGACAGTGAAATTTGGAACTTAGAAATACAAGGGGATTGTTTTTTTAAAGACAGATATGGCTTGAAGAATTAAATGACTTGTGAAAGTGTAAAGAAAAAGGAGAATACATAAACATGCCGTACTTTATATAAAGTACTTTATATAAAATTTATATCACTTGCACAAATATTTTCTCATGGAATTTTTCTCAGTAGACCAGAAAGATAAATATTATACTCATTTTACACATGATGAAGTTGCTGCTGGGAGGTGCCAAGGATCACACAGCTAATGATCATACAGCTATTAAGTTGCTACCAACTCCAAATTTGCTGCCAGCTGCTCTGATACACCATACCTTGCATAGGAAAGTTCTGGGAACAAAGAAACGTTTCCCTATTTGATCATCATCATCATCGACAATAGAAGCAGCTAATAATTAGTGAGAATCAGCAATGTGCCAGGCACAGTTCTAAAAATCCTACATGCAATCCTCCAACAACCACATGAAGGGGGCAGATTACATCACTGACATTAAGGTCACTAACCGTCCCCAGCAATCTGGCACCAGAACCCATACTCTTACCCACCATATCATCCTGCCCTCAAACAAGCTGGCTTCTACTCGAGAAAGACAATCTGACATTTGTACCTGTGGGATATCTGTAAAGTGAACCGAATAACACTTCCGCACTTTAATCCCCATCTCTTTCTCCCTCTTCCTCTAAGCTGGTCCCCACAGCCAGACTTAGTCTCTCACTCTTCCCTGTTATCCCACCTGCCTCTGTCTCCCCATAGCTGATTCTCTTAGAACCCTTAGCTAGCCAAAATATCAAACAAAATGTGCACTTAGACATTTATTTATTCTTGCTAAAGAAACTCTTTCTGCTACAACAAGGTCCTACTGTATAGCACGGGGAATTACATTCAATATACTGAGATAAACCATAATGGAAAAGAATATAAAAAAGAAGGTCTGTATGTATATAATCAGTTATATCACTTTGCTGTACAGCAGAGATGGGCACAACACTGTAAATCAACTGTACTTCAATTAAAAAAAATGTTTCCAGGCTTCCCTGGTGGCGCAGTGGTTGAGAGTCCGCCTGCCGATGCAGGCGACACGGGTTCGTGCCCCGGTCCGGGAGGATCCCACATGCCGCGGACTGGCTGGGCCCATGAGCCATGGCCACTGAGCCTGCGCGTCCAGAGCCTGTGCTCCGCAACGGGAGAGGCCACAACAGTGAGAGGCCCGCGTACCACACACACACACAAAATGTTTCCGCTTTATCACTTTAAACCACATGATATTCATCTTAATTTTATTTTTATTTTTTTAACATCTTTATTGGAGTATAATTGCTTCACAATGTTGTGTTAGTTTCTGCTGTATAACAAAGTGAATCAGCTATAAGTATACATGTATCCCCATATCCCCTCCCTCTTGCATCTTCCTCCCACCCTCCCTATCCCACCCCTCTAGGTGGTCACAAAGCACCGAGCTGATCTCCCTGTGCTATGCGGCTGCTTCCCACTAGCTATCTTTTTTACATTTGGTAGTGTATATATGTCAATGCTACTCTCTCACTTCGTCCCAGCTTACCTTTCACCCTCCCCGTGTCCTCAAGTCCATTCTGTACATCTATGTAGGTCTTTATTCCTGTCCTGCCCCTAGGTTCATCAGAACCATTTTTTTTTAGATTCCATATATATGTGTTAGCATACGGTATTTATTTTTCTCTTTCTGACTTACTTCACTCTTTATAACAGACTCTAGGTCCATCCACCTCACTATAAATAACTCAATTTCGTTTCTTTTTATGGCATAATATTCCATTGTATATATGTGCCACATCTTCTTTATCCATTCATCTGTCGATGGACACTTAGGTTGCTTCCATGTCCTGGCTATGGTGAATAGTGCTGCAATGAACATTGTGGTACATGACTCTTTTGGAATTATGGTTTTCTCAGGGTATATGCCCAGTAGTGGGATTGCTGGGTCATATGGTAGTTCTATTTTTAGTTTCTTAAGGAACCACCATACTGTTCTCCATAGTGACAGTATCAATTTACATTCCCACCAATAGTGCAAGAGGGTCCGCTTTTCTCCACACCCTCTCCAGCATTTACTGTTTGCACTTTTTTTTTTTTTTTTTTTGCGGTACGTGAGCCTCTCACTGTTGTGGCCTCTCCCCTTGCGGAGGGCAGGCTCCGGACGCGCAGGCTCAGCGGCCATAGCTCACGGGCCCAGCCACTCCGCGGCATGTTGGATCTTCCCAGACTAGGGCACGAACCCGTGTCCCCTGCATCAGCAGGTGGACTCTCAACCACTGCGCCACCAGGGAAGCCCTGTTTGCACATTTTTTGATGGCCATTCTAACTGGTGTGAGGTGATACCTCATTGTAGTATTGATTTGCATTTCTCTAATAATTAGTGATGTTGAGCATCCTTTCATGTGTTTGTTGGCAATCTGCATATCTTCTTGGGAGAAATGTCTATTTAGGTCTTCTGCCCATTTTTGGATTGGGTTGTTTGTTTTCTTGATATTGAGCTGCATAAGCTGCTTGTATATTTTGGAGATTAATCCTTTGTCAGTTGCTTCATTTGCAAATATTTTCTCCCATTCTGAGTGTTGTCTTTTCGTCTTGTTTATGGTTTCCTTTGCTTTTTATGGTGCAAAAGCTTGTTTCATTAGGTCCCACTTGTTTCTTTTTGTTTTTATTTCCATTCCTCTAGGAGGTGGGTCAAAAAGGATCTTGCTGTGGTTTTATGTCATAGAGTGTTCTGCCTATGTTTTCCTCTAAGAGTTTGATAGTGTCTGGCCTTATATTTAGGTCTTTAATCCATTTTGAGTTTTTGTATATGGTGTTAGGGACTGTTCTAATTTCATTCTTTGACGTGTAGCTGTCCAGTTTTCCCAGCACCACTTACTGAACAGGCTGTCTTTTCTCCACTGTATATTCCTGCCTCCTTTATCAAAAATAAGGTGACCATATGTGCCTGGGTTTATCTCTGGGCTTTCTATCCTGTTCCATTGATCTATATTTCTGTTTTTGTGCCAGAACCACACTGTTTTGATTACTGTACCTTTATAGTACAGTCTGAAGTCAGGGAGCCTGAATCCTCCAGCTCCATTTTTCTTTCTCAAGATTGCTTTGGCTATTCAAGGTCTTTTGTGTTTCCATACAAATTGTGACTTTTTTTTGTTCTAGTTCTGTGAAAAATGCCAGTGGTAGTTTGATAGGGATTGCGCTGAATCTGTAGGCTGCTTTGCGTAGTATAGTCATTTTCACAATGTTGATTCTTCCAATCCAAGAACATGGTATATCTCTCCATCTGCTTGTATCATCTTTAATTTCTTTCATCAGTGTCTTATAGTTTTCTGCATACAGGTCTTTTGTGTGTCCTTAGGTAGGTTTATACCTAGGTATTTTACTCTTTTTGTTGCAGTGGTAAATGGGAGTGTTTCCTTAACTTCTCTTTCAGATTTTTCGTCATTAGTGTATAGGAATGCAAGATATTTCTGTGCATTAATTTTGTATCCTGCTACTTTACCAAATTCATTGATTAGCTCTAGTAGTTTTCTCATAGCATCTTTAGGATTCTGTTTTGTATAGTATCATGTTATCTGCAAACAGTGACAGTTTTACTTCTTCTTTTCCGATCTG